ATATTTCAAATCTAAAGGTAAAAGCATACATGTTTGAGTGACACGTTAGACAATTTTATTTTATTTTTGAGCTCTAAAATTGCTTTATTTTGGAGCTCTAGAATTGCTCCCTCTTGCCAAGTTGGATCTATGGTTTAATGAGATATTAATGTACTGCATTGATATTCCAAATGTTCATATCAACCTAAGCTTTTCTTGATTAGGTTTAATGAGATATTAATACACTTTATTGGTTTTCCAAAGGTTCATATCATCTTGATTACATTACGTAGCACATTACCCAAACTTTTCTTGATTAGGTTTAATGAGATATTAATGCACTGTATTGGTATTCCAAATGTTTATATCATCTAGGATTGCTATTAATAATTACATAGGTGCATTGTCTTGACATTGCAAACATTTCTTCATACTTAATTGCATTGGCATTCGAAAAGTCCAAATAAGGGTTTATAAAAGGGGCGTATGTGCAATTGTGTATTATCGCAATGTGTTAGTTGGTGTCAACAACACATCTGGCATTTTGTTAATTATTTATAGGTCATGTTAGTTTGTGTCAATAATACTTTTGTTCTTCATGATTTTGTTAATCAATGATTTTTTATTTATTTATGTTTTTGTTGGTATTTATAAGTCAATGATTCATGAATTGGCATGGAATAAAGGCAGACGCCTGATTGACATTGTCAAATGAGTTGTTATTTTGATTCGTTCTTCTAAACTATAAGTATATCTTCTAACTATTTTAATACAAAACTGTAAGTATATCTCTTAACTATTTTAACAGTTATTATTTGATTGAATGATTGTTTTTGTTCAGTCAATTTATTTAAATGATTAATTGTGTTAATCTTGCCGAACAGTAAGTGTATTCTTTAACAATTTTAATACAAAGATTAATTAACTTTTGTTGATTTCGTTTTCAGGTAACAGTTGTTATACGAATGAATAATTGTTCCTTAACAATCTTAACATGAAGATCGATTAAATTTTGTTATGTTTGTTTTTAAGGAAATGTTCATGTACTTTACTGAGATCAAATCGAGGATGATCTTATTGTCAGCCGAACTGTGAGTATGTGTCATATCTATATTAGTATAAACAGTTCATTTGTGTTAAATATGTTTTCTGTAAAAACATTCATGTATTTTAATTTGTTATATGAATGATTAATTGTTTATGTTCTACTGATATGCGAGTATATATGTTAAATGAATTAATTTTGGCTTATTCCGTTTTCCAATTAATAGGTGTTATTTGAAATATTTCTTATCAGTCCTAAATTGATAATCCTTTAAATTTGGGTTAAGTAAACCATTCATTTTATCATCACATGCATTTCAGTTTCCACAAAACAATCAATAGTAAATTGACCATAACTTTCTCAATAAAAATCCAATTGATGAGAGGATTGAATCTTTAGAAACTAGACAAACAGTGCTTCAATTTGATATATTATACGCTTAATTTGGATAATTGTACCCTACTGCCAAACCATTCATTTTATCATCACACACATTTTGGCTTCCACTGAACAATCTGTAGTAAATTGACCATAACTTGCTCAATAAAAATTCAATTAATGAGAGGTTTGAATATTTAGAAACTAGACAAATAGAGCTTTAAATTGATATATTATATGCTTAATTTGGATAACTGTGGCCCTACTTCCAAACCATTCCTTTTATCATCTCATACATTTCAGTTTCCCATATTTCTCAATTTTCACTTAACAGTCAATAGTAAATTAGTCATAACTTGCCCAATAAAAATCTAATTGATGAGCGGTTTGAATATTTGAAAACTAGATAAATTGGGATTTAATTTGATATATTATATGCTTAATTTCGATAATTGTAGCCCCACTGCCGAACCATTCATTTTATCATCATACATTTCAATTTCCACTGAACAGTTAGTAGTAAATTGACCATAACTTGCTCAATAAAACTTCAATTGATGAGAGGTTTGAATATTTAGAAACTAGATAGATAAGACTTTAATTTGATATATTATACGCTTAATTTGGATAAATGTAGCCCCACTTCCAAACCATTTCTTTTATCATCGATTTCCCTTGTTTCTCGATTTCCATTGAACAGTCAGTAGTAAATTGATCATAATTTACCCAAAAAAATCCAATTGATGAGCGGTTTGAATCTTTGGAAACTAGAAAGATAGAGATTTAATTTGATATATTATACGATGAATTTGGATAACTATAGACCTGCTGCTGAACCATTCATTTTATCATCACACATAAAAAACCAATTCAATTTTAGTGATGACAAAGGAAAACAAATATTGATATGTAGTTTTAATTGTATTTGTTCTATCTCTTTTTGTTGATATGTTTTTTATGTTACATACATATATCGAAAACAAGTTGTTGCTTAATACAACCAATTTTATTTGTATCACAAATATCATCTGATGTTTGTAACCATATAGTTTTAGTAAACCATTTGTAATATGCCAAACTATTGTTATTATCCTTAAAGGAAAACAAATATTGATATGCCGTTTTAATTGTAATTGTTCTATGTCTTTTTGTTGATATCTTTTTATGTTACATACATATATCATGAAAGAAGGTTGTTGCTGAATATAACTAATTTCATTTATTTAACAAATATCAACTGATGTTTGATGCCGAACTATGTAGCTTTAGTAAACCATTCATTTTATCATCACACACATTTAGGTTTCTAGTGAACAATCAGTAGTAAATTGATCATAACTTGCTCAATAAAACTCCAACTGATGAGAGGTTTGAATATTTAGAAACTAGACAGAAAAGGGTTTTAATTTGATATATTATATGCTCAATTTGGATAACTGTAACCCCACTGCCAAACCATTCCTTTTATCATCACACACATTTCGGTTTCCACTTAATAGCTAGTAGTAAATTGATCATAACTTTCTCAATAAAAATCAAATTGATGAGAGGTTTGAATATTTAGAAACTAGACAGGCAGGGCTTTAATTTGATATATTATACGCTTAATTGGGATAACTGTAGCCTCACTATTGAACCATTCCTTTTATCATTACATATATTTCGGTTTCTACTGAACAGTTAGTAATAAATTGACTATAACTTGCTCAATAAAAATTCAATTGATGAGAGATTTGAATCTTTAGAAACTAGAGAGACAGAGCTTTAATTTGATATATTATATGCTTAATTTGGATAACTGTTTCCCCACTGCTGAACCATCCATTTTATCATTACACACATTTCGGTTTCTCATGTTTCTCGATTTCCTACTGAACAGTCAATAGTAAATTAGTCATAACTTGCTTAATAAAATTCCAATTGATGAGCGATTTGAATCTTTGGAAACTAGAAAGACAGGGCTCTAATTTGATATATTATACAATGAATTTGGATAACTATAGACCTGCTGTCGAACCATTTATTTTATCATCATACACATGAAATAAATTCAATTTTAGTGATGACAAAAGAAAATAAATTTTGACATATAGTTTTAATTTTATTTGTTCTATCTCTTTTTGTTGATTTTTGAATTGATTTTGTTGTTTGATTTGTGGGTTTTACAATTATCGTCTTTTTTATGATGTTATCATCAAATGTTTTTTTTGCTATATGTGGTGGTCAATTCTAATTGCAGCAAATGAATTTGTGTCACAAGACCTTTATCTTCATGACTTCTTTAATGCTTTAATTAAGTTGTCTTCATATTATATTGTTGAAGTTGTTGCTTTCTATGTGAGTTTTCTTCTCAATATGCTTAATTTCTAAAATAATAATAATAAAAATAATTCATTTTCTCTTCTCAACAATCAAAATCAATTTTTTTCTTTTGGCTCAGCAAGTCTCTTATTTAAAAGTTCACATTTTTCAACAAAGTTTATCTTTCTCTTATTTATTTATAGACTTATCAATAATACCCACTGAGTTATCCTGCAATTTTTTTTGCTTTTCTTAACAAAGTTTTAAATTTTGGTTACAGATGTCAAATGGTGACATATTTGAGAAGAACCATGATAAAATAGACTTTGAGTTAAATTTGTGGATATTTTATTTATTAATTATCAATTCAATATAAAAAAAAAACTTCAATATATAAAATATATATTTAAAACACAAAAAAATCAATAATAATATAAAAAAATATAATAAATATACCCAGTGCAATGCGCTAGCTTTTCATCTAATTGATAATAATTCTTCATCAAAAACAATAAAAGCAAGTAGGTTGCAGGTATTCGTTTTAATGATATTAAATGACATGAAGCTGATGTACAATATAGATAGGTTTGCTTTAAATAATATGAAAATGTAATTGTCTTTCAATTTTCATAAATACCCTTGTAGTAATAGGTGACACCAGAAATTTGATTATTTTCAACTAACAAAAATCATTTATAGATTGACTTTCAGCCTATTTTTTATTATCATTAATCTTTAATTGCAATTATATTGCCTATAATTTCATTAAAATATTTTTAGTAATTCAACGCGTTTTAATAATTAAACTCATATTATATGGTTATAATAATTACCGCATTTTAAAAATTTAACACCATAATAACAACATAAAAGAATTTTAACATCAAACACAAGACCTATTATTATATAATTGCTTAACTTGCGTGTAATATGAAAATTTTCTCATGCTAATTATGATGCCAAGACTAGACTATCATCATAATAATAAAAATAAAATTTGAGTAAAAAATTATGTAACCCGCCAAAACATTGTGTACTTTACATTACGTAACAAATGACTATTTTACCCCCAATTATGACAACGTTTCTGATCAAACGCTGTTGTTTTAAGTAATTTGGTTTTGTCCTTTTCCTTAATGTGTGGGCAAGACAAGTCACAAGTAACCTTACTTTCTTTTTAACGTTGTTTTGTTCCGTAACAGATTCTTTTATAATTCAATTCAAATCAAAAGAAAAACCAGAAATCCAGTAAGTTAATAACTTTGAAATGAGTTGAGATGAGTTGAGTTGAGTTGAGTCGAGTCGAGTCAAGCCCGAGTCTTTAAATTTATTTTAATTCAACTGCCATGTTTTTTACCATCACAACTACTCTCTATAAAAAGCCTATTTCTCCTACAAGATCGCTCATCAATTTGTCCACACCACAAAAAAAACCCAACGCTACATCTTCTACACACAATACTTCCACCTGCATTTCTTCTAGAGACCTCCATAGACTGACTGTCAATCCACAGCAGCCGTCGATTTTTCTTGCTTCGACTTCTTGGTCTCATTGTTTTGGTATTTTGAAGAAGAAGAAGGAGATGGTGGCTGTTGATCAGTACATTATTGCCACTTTCTTTGCTTCTCTCGCTGGGTTTCTTCTTCTCTTTCTTTTGCGCCGTAACGGTAAGAAGACGACGAAAAAGGATGCCGGAACGTACAAGATCGGGAACGACATTGTTCATAGCGCTGTCGGCAACGGAGATTACTCCTCGCCGGACGGCACTGACGTCATCATTGTCGGTGCAGGCGTTGCTGGCGCAGCCTTGGCTCATACCCTCGGCAAGGTAATTTCTTTTACATTATTGTTATTATATTTGTTTATTTTTAATTTCCCGTTGCTCTAAATATTGAATTTACCAAGCTCTATAGGGTATTTGGAAGTTTCTTCGTTTTATTGTTTTTAGTACCAACTATTTGATGAATTTCATACTTCATTTATCTACATATTTTTGTCTACGTAAGCTACACCAGGATTTGGTTCACATTTTTGGTGTGGGTTATTTTTTTATTAGTGAAATTTTTTTCTCTTTTGGTTGGTGATTGTGTTAAGAGTTTGATAAAGCAATTGCCATGTAAAGGTGTTTGGATTGGCTGAAGTGGGCTTAAAGGTTACTTGGTTGTTACTAGAGATTAGAGTCACTTTATAGAATTTTCTGATGATGAATAGAATCTGATGACACGAACAAAATTGGTTTTTGGTTGTAAAGCTTAAACAAGAACTTCAAAGATGAACATGCTGACTTTTGTTGGTCATTTCTGATTCTTTGGTTTCATGGTTTGATTGCTAGCATAGTGAAGAAATTCTAAGGGGTGAATAGTATAAAGGCAATTGACTTCCCCCAGAAAGTTTAAGATGTACACTTACTGTTATTGCTTGCTTCAATAAGTTTTACATATGTGATTTACATTCAATCTAATTTTAATTGATGTACTTTGTCCATGTAAATTTATTACTCTTAAGTTTAACTACAAAGAGATTTGTATATTATAAGGTACATATCACTACTCCTAAATGGATACAGAGAAATCCTAATTTAAGAGTTACAAAATGTTGAAGAGACACTTTGAACTCCAGAAATATGTCTGTTGTTATTCACTTGTTTTCTGCAAAGTCTTATTCTGAAGTCTTGACTTTAACTAACTGCAGGATGGAAAACGGGTTCATGTTATAGAAAGAGATTTGACAGAGCCTGACAGAATTGTTGGTGAATTGCTTCAGCCTGGGGGATACCTGAAACTAATTGAATTAGGCCTTGAAGGTATGCGCCAGAGCTGCAATCTATATCTTTTACTTTGCATTTCAGAGAGATGAAATCTTCAAGACTTTCAATTGTTGTTGTTGTAAACAACACTCTGTGTGGTTAAGGACTAGTTCTCTTTATGACTACTTTTTGCACGTAGTTATCTTATATTTTCTCCAACTGTAAATATATTGTGTTTTTTAACTACAGATTGTGTAGAAGAAATTGATGCCCAGAGAGTGCTGGGATATGCTCTCTTCAAGGATGGGAAAAGTGCCAAATTGTCATATCCATTGGAAAAGTTTCATGCTGATGTTGCTGGGAGGAGCTTCCACAATGGGCGTTTTATCCAGAGGATGAGAGAAAAAGCTGCTACTCTTCCCAAGTATCTTCCCCTATCTCTTTGGCTTGACTGATTGCATTATTTAACTTGTTGCTTTTTGGTTCCTTGATACTTAGGGTTTAGTTCAGCATGAATTTTCTATATTTCATGCACTTCACTATTTAAGTGTTGCATCAAAGTTGATGGTTATTAATCTCCTTGCATCATTTTTTGTTCAATTCAAATTAGCGTACGACTAGAGCAAGGAACAGTGACATCCCTGCTTGAAGAAAATGGCACAATAAAAGGGGTTCAGTACAAAACTAAGAATAGTCAAGAACTTAGAGCATATGCTCCTCTTACAATTGTGTGTGACGGTTGCTTCTCAAATCTGCGTCGTTCTCTTTGCAAACCAAAGGTGAAGTTGCATCTTATAACCTTTAAGTTCTCTTGTATCATATGTAAATTAGTCACAGTATTCAAGATAGTTTTAGTGAGAGTATCTGTTAATTCAGGACGCTAGAAAATTTATTGTCTGTCTTGATAATAAGTTTACTCTTCACTGTGTCATGTTCTTCTCTTGCTTTATTCTTTTGTACTGAGAAGCTAATTGTATCAGTTTAACTATTTGACAGGTTGATGTGCCCTCTTGTTTTGTGGGTCTAGTGTTAGAGAACTGTCAACTTCCTTTCGAAAACCATGGGCATGTCATTCTAGCAGATCCTTCCCCCATATTATTTTATCCAATCAGTAGTACAGAGATTCGATGCTTGGTTGATGTACCAGGTCAAAAATTGCCTTCCATTGGTAATGGTGAAATGGCCAAATATTTGAAGACCATGGTAGCACCACAGGTATCTGTGATTGAAGTACATGTTTTAGGATTATTAAAGATACAAGGATTGACCTTTTCGTGTTGGGATTAGTTTTATATTCTGTCCTTGTTTTACACTTTGTTTTGCCTTGATTTAATTGGAGAGTGGCTGTTTCAGGTTCCTCCTGAGATTCGTGATGCCTTTGTTAACGCAGTTGACAAAGGCAGTATTAGAACTATGCCAAATAGAAGCATGCCAGCTGATCCTCAGCCTACTCCTGGAGCTCTTCTAATGGGTGATGCTTTCAACATGCGTCATCCTTTAACAGGTGGTGGAATGACTGTGGCATTATCTGATATTGTTGTGCTTCGGAATCTTCTTAAGCCCTTGCAAGACTTTCGTGATGCAGCTGCCCTGAGCAGATATCTTGAATCCTTTTACACCTTACGTAAAGTAAGCTTAATTAGTATACTACTTTTATTTATTCATTTTTATCATTACAGCTGTAGAAAAATGGGAATGTACCTGTTTTAGGCTTACAGTTTGTTTTTTCCTTGCAGCCCGTGGCTTCAACAATAAATACTCTGGCAGGTGCCCTGTACAAGGTTTTTTCTTCTTCCCCTGACCAAGCAAGGAAGGAAATGCGCCAAGCATGTTTTGACTATTTAAGCCTTGGAGGTGTTTTTTCGAATGGACCAGTGGCTTTGCTTTCTGGTCTAAACCCTCGCCCTTTGAGTTTAGTTCTCCACTTCTTTGCTGTGGCAATTTTTGGTGTTGGTCGCTTGCTAGCACCATTTCCTTCGCCTGAGCGCATTTGGATTGGAGCTAGATTAATTTCGGTATGCATTTCCATCTTTTATAATTGATGATTAAAGCAAGTATGGGTTATCGCATTTGGGATTTTTCAATTCTTACAACAATTTTTCCTTTTACAGGGTGCATCAAGTATTATTTTCCCCATAATCAAGGCAGAAGGAGTGAGGCAAATGTTTTTCCCTGCCACTGTTCCAGCTGTTTACAGAGCTCCTCCTGTTGATTGATATATCAAATATTAGATGGCAGTAATCTATGCAAACTGTTCCACTAAAGAAAGACATTGGATTTATTTGGCTAGAAACAATTCTGTAATTGTATGATATTAGATGATATTCTTAAGAACAGGTGTTTAGAACGCCTCCCAGACTTTTTGATGGTGAACAACTTTTATATTGAATTTATATTTTTCAAGGAGTCTGTTCTGTCCACGAGAATACCTTTTCAAATCTTACAAGTGTAATGCGAATTCAATCATTATTTTTGCTAGATGTAGCAATGAAATATCCTAAATGCTTCTAGTTCATCAGTGATTGTGCTGTCGCTGAGGATAGTGTCTACTCTGTGGTAAAATCCAAGAGATGACCAAACCCCTATCTTGAAATGTGTCTGGATTGTTAAATGCTTTTCTATGGTTTCCTTGTGTAAACATAACATGTGACTCAACTCAGGTTGCCTATAAAGAAGAATAACGAAGAAACAAGTCATTTGCCGGTACAAACAAAGTAACTATCCAATAAAATCTCATACCCAACTCCTTCTATATACAAAAATGACTGCCAAAATTAATCACAGATTGTATAAAATAGAAGAATTATAGAATCAGATAGATAATCACTGGCCTGGGCCCAATCGTGCTTGGTGGTTTAGTAGTCATGTAACTGCTACTTTGTTTTGGTAATCATGCAACTACTCTGATGTCGCGGTTCAGTGTAGTTCTTGTGTAGTAGAAGATGATAATGATGAAGATGAGATCAACTGACATGACGTGAACCATGATCCGCACCTGGAGTTCATTGTGCAATCTGCATTGATGGATTATCAGGGCAGCCACTATTAGTACACATAATGTAATAATGAACTTTGGGAAGTGGACTTTCATTGTATATTTTTTTTTACAGTATACTAAATGCACGAATTTTGATACACGAAACCTTCCTCATATAAACCAACTGTTCAACATCACCTCTATCTTTATGAAAGTGGTAGGGATAGAGTCATAGAGAACTGCTTACTTCTTTCTCATGACCTGACACGGCCAGGAAAAAACCTTGTCAAGGATTTCACTAGTTAGCTGTGTTCAAAATGGTTGACATTTGCAAGTAGTTATTTATCTTGGTGGCTCTCTCAAATATGCCAAATAACTAGTGCTCCTAAATGACTACAACATTCTTCTCAAGCTGTCTTTAGAATGGATTTAAATCCCCACAATATGTTCTCAACGATAACTTCGGCTTATGCATCAATCCATTAGGCTCTACCATTCCAGAACTAGGGAAGCATACAACACGTCATTTGTTGAATTCTCAGTTCCCATTTCATGTTGGACTATGTTTATTGTCAGTCTGATACTTGCATCTTTAACTTTCAGTATATCAGGATTCGAGCTTGCATGGTTTTATGACCCAATCCAGCTGCAACCAGGTTGCTTCATCACCCCTGTTCTCTTTGACAGTTCCCTTATATTCGCAGCTTCTTCCCATAAACCTGAAGCTGCATATATATTTGCTAAAAGTACGTAAAGTGATGGATTATTTTGTTCATTTTCAAGGAGAAAGCCAGCAATGATTCTTCCCAGTCTTAAATTACCGTGAGCTGCACAAGCACTGAATAATGCCCACCAGACACTAGAAGGCACTTGAATATCCTTATTTATTAGTCTCTCAGCCTCATCAAGATACCCTGCTCTTCCAAGAAGGTCAAGCATACAAGATAGATGATCTTCTGCAGGAACAAAGCCATAGTAGTTCACCATGCAGTTGAATATCCTAGTGCCATCATCAACTAAACCTGCATGGCTGCAAGCAGAAAGAACAGCAGTAAAGGTGGCATGGTCAGGTATAAGGCCAACTGCATCTTGCATTGCCTCAAAACAACTGATAGCTTCCTTTCCTTCTCCATGCTGTGCATATGCAGAGATTAGGGCATTCCAAGAGACAGTATCCTTTTCAATCATCTCATTAAACACTCTCACAGAACAATTCAGATTCCCACATTTTGTATACATTGAAATCAGAGCATTACCTAAAGAGGTCTTTGAGAAAAGATTGTATCTCAAGATGTAACCGTGAACCTGTTTTCCATGTCTTAAGGATGAAAGGCTAGCACAAATACTCAAAACAATGGTGAGGGTATACACATCTGGCCTTGCATCTGACATCAGTAATTTGCAAAATTGCTCTAACCCTTGCACTGGAAAAGAATTTAACAGGAACCCAGAAATGATAGTATTCCAGGTTACCAAATTTCTATAAGACATGTCATGAAATATTTGATAGGCATGCTTTATTTGCTCATGCTTTGAGTATGCAGAAATCAATGCGTTAGAAACTTGGATATTTGAGATGATCCCATTTCTAAATACAAGGGCATGAATCATCTCTACGATTTCTTCAAACTCTGAGCTCGCCAACAGACTTCCAAAAGTAAACTCATCTGATTTGACCGCTACCCTCTCCATTTTCAGATAGGCCGAGATTGCCATTCTACCCAGGTTCCTTTGAGCATAGCTTGATATCATAGTATTCCATGAGACAAGATCTTTCTCTTCCAAGCTCTGAAAAACCATCTGAGCTGCATCTAAATCCCCACAGGTGGAATACATGGTTATTGCTGCATTGCTCACAGAAGTTAATGCTTCAAAACCATTCTTAATGGCTTGAGCATGCACTTGACTCCCTACTCCGACACAAAAACATGCACTCATTACACTCACAAACGTCAGTTTACTGGGCCTATGAGAAGCCTGTAGCATCTTTCTGAACATCATCAAAGCCTCTTCAACTCTTCCTAAACTCACCAAACCACCCATCATCACATTAAAACTAATATTGTCACACACAAATTTTTTCGCTTCTTCAAAAACCATACTCGCATCCGCAACAATTCCACAGTTGAAGTACATAGTAATCAACGCATTGACCACAGAAACTGTAACCAAAAACCCAGTTTTAATCACCAGCGAATGCAACTGCCTCCCAAGTTCAACTAATCCTATATCACACACACTCAACACACTACCCAAACTATATTTATCATGCCTAATGCCCAATTTATGCATTTCTCTAAACAAACTAATACCAATATCTTCATGCCCGTTTTCCACACACCCATTTATCATCGCATTATAAACCGCCAATTCTCTACTAGGCATTTTATCAAACAGTTCACAAGCATAACCAACATGACCCATCTTAGTACAAGCCGACAATAACGTCGTCCAAGAATAAACATCTGGGTTCTCTATTTCACTAAAGACCCTTTTAACTGAAACAAAATCTTGCGTGTTTTTATAGAGCGAAAGGATTGAATTTGCCACGTGAGAACATAATTTGTGGCCGGTACGTATAGTGTAGGCATGGAGTTGGTTACCGAAGGTGGACTTGCGGAGATTTGCGCACGCAGTGAGGGTTGTGGAGAGAGTGTAGATATCAGGTTTAAGATCATGGGAAGAGTGAAGTTGGACGAAGAGATGGAGAGCATCTTGGTAATGGCAAGAACGAGTGAAATTTACAAGTGAATTGTTGAGTTTGATGAGTAGCTGTTTAGTGCAATAATTGGTTGTAGTGGCGGTACTGGGTATTTTGCAACTCAACTGCGTCATCCGTTGGTAGTTTTGTTGTAGGAGATGTACATGATGGAAACCTTTCTTATATGTATTTTTTGACCAATTTTATCAGATTTTTCAAGGAGAATTTCATTCTCTTGTTATTTTTTGTAAACACTGTTTTCGATTTATTTAACTTTGATACACTCTCCTCTGTATTACTTTGCTACAATACTATCAGTCATAATTATCACAATCAGTTGATGATGATGAAATTTTTTCTTTCCCATCTTGTTTTGATGAAATAAATTGATTTTAGATAGTTTCAAATACATCGTAAACTTTTTTTTTTCATCGGGGTTGTCCGGATCAGTTTGCACATATCTTAACTAATCTTTCAGGATCTTAAAACTGTCAATCGGATAAAAGTCCTAATAGTCATCCCTATTAGGACCATGAAAATGCATCGTAAACTTCTTTGGTAATAATTTTAAAATTGGATTAACTAATTCATAAATCTATTTATTGATTTACTAAAAATTTGAAGGTTGGGTATACAATATTACAAGATTTAGGGTTTAGGGAGCTCAAGGCATCTGAGACGGGGAGCTCTGTCCCAGCGAAGGTTGAAAGAGAGATTTGCATGTGTTTTTTCTACGCAATAATGCTAATGCATGATAGACGTGAAGAATGAGTGAGACTTGCATCCAAATAATTCATTAATTTCTATTAGTAGTTGGAAGTTTTGCAGGTTTCACGGTCTTACGTTAGTTGGGTAGTTGAAAAGTTCATAGGTTTTTATTCACATCAGCCCTGCACTTTGCAAGCACTATATGGTTTTTTTTTTAGCATTCGAATTTACATGGGGTTTGCACGTGCATGTCATGTGCACTTCGGCTAATTTTCCCACACATCAAAACTTTTTAACTATTTTTTTCCTTGGGCTCAAACACGGGCTGGCCGATTTACTTTCGTCCTTGGGCTCGTACAAGCACAGTGGCCCATATGGGCCAAAACTTCGGCCGTCAAATTCCGCATTTGACGTGGCTTATTGAAGCTTCGAAACACTGCGTTTTTGTTTTCTCTCGCTCTACCTGTGACTCAAACCGCACCGTTTTTCACTCTTTACAAAGACCCATACCAACTACAAAGACAGCTATAAAGTGATATTATTACAAAGGAAAAACAGAAAAAAAGAAAGAGGGAAGTCATGAAAATTAAGGGTTAGATTGTCTTTGTATAACTTTATACGTGCTTTTGTAAAATTAGCATTGTTCTTTTCACTTACCCTCGGATATCCCCGGTCCGCGGAAGAAAATGCAGCAAAACTAGGGAAAGCCATAACAGATGTAACATTTACAGAGAACAAATCACTTACAGTATCCAACATGCTCAGATTCTCTTCAAAGACTTCGTCTTTCTTCAACAAATACCGCCACTTCTCATTTTCCCCCAAACCAAACTCCAATGTATTCGTTCAATCAACCGAACTGAGAACTCAGTTTGACTCTAACCTCGTTTGTCTTCAAACCAATAAAGAAGACAACGATAATACATCTTACGCTGATGAATTCTCCGCCGACGTTGAGAAGATATTCAGAATATTGAAAAAATTCCACTCTAGAGTTCCGAAACTGGAGCTGGCTTTACAAGCATCCGGCGTCGTTTTGCGCCCAGGTTTAACAGAACGCGTGATTAACCGTTGCGGTGATGCTGGGAATTTAGGGTATCAGTATTTTATGTGGGCGTCGAAGCAACCGAATTATTTTCACAGCTATGACGTGTACAAGTCGTTGATTAAGAGTTTAAGTAAAATGAGACAATTTGGCGCCGTTTGGGCTTTAATTGAGGAAATGAGAAGAGAAAAACCAGAGTTGATTTCTGGTGAAGTCTTTGTGGTTTTGATGAGGAGATTTGCGTCTGCAAGAATGGTTAAGAAGGCTATTGAAGTGTTAGATGAGATGCCAAAGTATGGGTGTGAAGCAGATGAGTATGTGTTTGGTTGTTTGTTAGATGCTTTGTGTAAGAATAATAGTGTTAAAGAGGCAGCCAAGTTGTTTGAGGATATGAGAGTGAGGTTTAAGCCGAGTTTGAGGCATTTTACGTCGTTGTTGTACGGTTGGTGTAGAGAAGGGAAGTTAATGGAGGCTAAATATGTGTTGGTGCAAATGAAGGAGGCTGGTTTTGAGCCTGATATTGTTGTTTATAACAATTTGTTAAGTGGGTATGCACAAGTGGGAAAAATGAGTGATGCTTTTGAGTTGTTGAAGGAAATGAGGATGAAGGGTTGTGAACCAAATGCAAACTCGTATACGGTTTTGATTCAGGCGCTGTGTAGGCAGGAAAAGATGGAGGAGGCAATGAGGGTTCTTGTTGAGATGGAGAGGAATGGATGTGAGGCTGATGTTGTGACTTACACTACCATGATAAGTGGGTATTGTAAATGGGGAAAAATTGAGAAAGGTTATGAAATTTTGGATGGAATGATTCAAAGAGGGCATATGCCTAATCAGTTGACTTATTTGCATATAATGTTGGCCCATGAGAAGAAGGAAGAGTTAGAAGAGTGTGTGGAATTGATGAGGGAGATGAGAAAGATTAGTTGTGTTCCAGATGTTGGTATTTATACTCTGGTGATTAGATTGGCTTGCAGGTTGGGGGAGGTGAAAGAAGCTGTAAATGTTTGGAATGAGATGGAAGCTAGTGGGTTTAGTCCAGGGATTGATAGTTTTGTTGTGATGATTCATGGGTTTCTTGGGCAAGGATTTTTAGTTGAGGCTTGTGAGTATTCTAAGGAAATGGTTGGGAGAGGCCTTTTATCTGCTCCTCAGTATGGTACCTTGAAGGAGTTGTTGAATGCTCTATTGAGGGCCGGGAAGCTTGAAATGGCTAAAGATGTTTGGAGTTGTATTGTCACTAAAGGATGTGACCTTAATGTTTCTGCATGGACAATTTGGATTCATTCTTTGTTTTCCAATGGACATGTTAAAGAGGCTTGTTCTTATTGCTTGGACATGATGGATGCGGATGTAATGCCACAACCGGATACTTTTGCTAAGCTCATGCGTGGTTTAAGGAAACTATATAATAGACAGATTGCAGCAGAGATTACAGAGAAAGTGAGGAAGATGGCTGCTGAGAGAGAAATCACCTTCAAAATGTATAAACGACGTGGTGAGAGGGACTTGAAAGAAAAAGTAAAGGCAAAAGAAGATGGGAGGAAGAGGAGGGCTCGTCAAAGGCGATGGGGTGGGGGGCGTGGTAAAGCTAAGATTTTGTAGTTAGAATGAGGGAATTGTTGCGAAGTAAATAACTTCAGTATAAAGAATGTACTGATGAGACTGGTTCCAATCCAGTGCTTTGAATAATGCAGAAAGTCTTAAATCCTCAGCCTGATTATTTGGTTTACCATGGGCATCTGAGGATCAATTTTAATCTGAATATATAGAAATGTTGCTCTGTTGGTTTTAACAAGGAAATGTCGTGGTTAGTAGTTTATTGGTGAATGCAACTTATGACAACTATTAGCAACAAAGACAATTATCACAGATGGTTGATTTTAGCAAACTGGTGGCTGTGCTCACGCATGGCTGCCAAGAGTAGAGGTCTTTAACAGCAAGATGTGATAATTCAGAAAGGGACACCTTATGACGGATCACAGTACGGAATAACTTTCTCTGGGCTCTCCCTTGGGCATATCAGGATAAGTGCTTTGCTGCACATGGAAATGCCAACTTGCCACCATCTCAGAAAAAGAAAACTTCTGAGTTATCGGCAAATTTGCAATAGTGACTGATGGTTCCTGCTAGTGATTGGATGCATTCTATTCGAAGATTGGCATTGCTAAGTTGCAACTTCTCTAACAATTAGGTATGAAATAATATATCTTTACTTGCGGCACTATTATAAAATTTTCAAACTATAGGTTCACTGATCCTCGCCTATCTTCATTCAATTTTCTACTCCAGCATGTAAATAGATAAGAATGTCACATCCAGCTTGAAGAAAAAGGATTTTTTTTTATAATTCTAGTCAGACAGCTGAAAATCAAGCATCAGTTACAAGTGTATTGGATTGGGATAATTCCTTGTGCAACTGTTAGGTGAAGATGCTATTCCATGCTTGTTAATGATTAACAGCTCACATGAAATTATTTTGTTGATATTGTTGATGGAACAGTTCCTTGTATCAAATTGTCTCAAGTTGTATTTATCTATCTATTTTATTACAAAGGGGTCATAAGTTATATACGGTATCATACAACAATTTCTTTACAGATTCTGGATCGCTTTAGCTTAAGAAAATCTCTTTTGCATTTTTTATATTGGGGCACGTCAATATGAAATAACTTATTACTCGTATTGGATTTAGGGTTAATCAAACTCAAACCGATGACTGAGGTGACTCTTTACCTGTTTATTGTACCCCTTTCCTGCCCCACCTAGAAGTAGGATTGACTAATCCTAAGGCAAGGGTCTAGAATTTTAAGGCTACCATTTTAATAACTGGGAGCCATCCCTTCTTTTGACACTACTACGCAGACAAAATCAATGGGAAAAGTTGGATTCAATTGTCAGCTGCTCCTAAACAAATAAATATAGCCAGTTGTTTTGTTGCCTTTTTCCTGGAGAACTTCTACCCGGTGTATTAGTATGTCCTAATATCATCTTATATATTTTAATGGTTTTATGGTTTCCAATTTACTTTGCTTTAGTACTTAAAAGTTCCTTACCCTGATTATCCGATACAGGTCTCAAATGAGGACATTGCCAAATTTGCTTCATTTTCATATTTTACTTACCCTGTTACTTTTCGATTCTTCAGAATATACTGATTAGGGAGTATAATAATGTATCCAATGAATTTGTATGATTCATAGAATCAAATTGTCCCTATATTTGTGCTGCTATTGGCACCATGCCTACCACTTTTAAGTTGTAACTAGCATTTGAAAACTGAGTAATACATTTATTCATTCTAGCATTTTTTGCAGTATGATATACTTATTTTTACAAAATTTGAGAAGTGTATTTGGGTACTGCAGTCAAAACTTTTCCGTTGTAATGATTTTACCCAGTGTCTTAAAAATTCATTATTCTGTTTCTCTCAACAACAACTTCAGCACCTTTTTTCACATTTCCAAATCGACAATTTCTTTTATCATCCTAAGTTGCAAATAATCTACACATCNCGTTTCTTCAGAATATACTGATTAGGGAGTATAATAATGTATCCAATGAATTTGTATGATTCATAGAATCAGATAGTCCCTACATTTGTGCTGCTATGGGCACCATGCCTGCCACTTGTAAGTTGTAACTAGCATTTGAAAACTGAGTAATACATTTATTCATTCTAGCATTTTTTGCAGTATGATATACTTATTTTTACAAAATTTGAGAAGTGTATTTGGGTACTGCAGTCAAAACTTTTCCGTTGTAATGATTTTACCCAGTGTCTTAAAAATTCATTATTCTGTTTCTCTCAACAACAACTTCAGCACCTTTTTTCACATTTCCAAATCGACAATTTCTTTTATCATCCTAAGTTGCAAATAATCTATACATCAAAATAAAAAAGTTTACTTTCGATTCTTCAGCTTGTTGATTCATTCAGCTGTTGAATGAAAATGAATCTCTCTGCTTTGATTTCTATAATAAAGCTTCTATATCAGGAGTTTATAGTTGATATTGGTAGATCCTTATTAATTATTTTCAGCTTGATAATCAGTCTCATCATAGATCTCCTCCTACATGAATAAAAATTATCGGTATAAATTCTCTGGGAGTATAGCAAAAGAAAAGTTAATTAGAGAAATTATTGCACATACTTGTAATAGCTCTTCAATGACATCTTCTAGTGTTATAATGCCAATAGCTTCTCCTTCTCCAACGGCCATCGGGAGTGGATCATCAGTGATATGCAGAACTTCTGGGTTAGTCCATTTCTTGCTCTTGGAGGCTCCTCTATGCAGATTTGGATCATGAGAAAAGCTATACCCCTTCTTAAGTGATCTCTTGGTCTTTAAACATTTCTCTTTAAGATGACTTTCACCATCAATGTCCACCCTCACATCTGTATCTGAATTCATTTTCTGTCAAACTAATGGAAACCAGTGCTATGGGAAAAAAAATATTGACCATGGATAATAAAATGCCACAGCATTAGAAACAGAACTTACCATCAGTTGAATGTTCAGCGGCTGGCTGCTGTGTCTCACCCTGATGCCTTATAACAACAGCCATATGGCTATGACCTTTCTGAAACTCATTTAGTATGTCGTATAAAGGCATTGTCTCTGAAACCCTGGCATACAAGGCATGTACAATACATTAGTCGATCTTTACTTTTTCTGTGTGCACTGGTTTTCTCAGCTTGATTTATCAGATAACTAGCTCTATCCAGCATAACATTTTGTTAAGGCTAGTAACATATATACAATTTTGCAAAATAATACCTGGTTAAATAATGTCTATATCCTCATAGTTGGTATATGTCTGGAAATTTTGAAAGCAAACTCTAAACACTTTTGTATCAAAAGTAGTGTTGATGAATTTAATATTTTTATTGCTAAGTATCTTGATGGTATCAGAAGGGGAATTTTAGTCTAGATTCTTGATTATTTCCTGTAAAATCGATCAATATAATCATGCGGAGAAGTTAGAATATTCATTTTTATTGGTGAGAAATTCTATTACAGTGGCTGCTGGTTGTTGCCATGGCTATGATATGAAGCTTTGCAGGTTTGTATTCTGGACTGGACATCAGATTCCCTAAAATGTTGCCAAACTTTTTATTGTCTATCAGGTTTTTCGGCAATCTATTGGGGTTTTAGTTTTTTGTTGAAACATACTGTTAGATATTGGTGTGTTGTTTGGTCGAAAATCTTAACTTAGAGAAATACATCACAGTGCTGCATAATTGTTTTTTTTTTTTTTTGTAATGAAGGTGATCGGGCCAGCTTACGCACATCTTAGTCGTTGTATAATGCATATGCAAAACATATATCTTTACTATGCAAGTGGCTTGAGCAAACATTGATATTGTGGAAACAGAATGAAATACCTCGGAATTCTGCGAATGGGGACATTCTTTATAGGCACCTCATCTTCTGGATGGATAGTTAGTAAATTCTTCACCTATGATGGAAAACACACATTCTGTAAGCATAAATTGGTTGGACCATAGGCACATAGTGAACAAAGAAAAAAAAAAAATCTATGTAAAATGTTGTTACCAATACGAGTCCAATTACGTTTGTTGGTTGCTGATAGTAAACTGGCACTCTGCTATGCCCTTTGTCCAGAATTAACTTCCTTAAATTCCTGCATGTTGTTCATTTAGATATGAAATCCATCTCATCCAGTCGTCATTACAAGAAAACCAATGTAAAGTACAAAGATCCATCATATATTACCTGTCTAGTTTGGCATTAATATCAATTGCAAAGGTGTCAGATATTGGAGTCATTGCATCCCTTGCCTTTTTTGCAGTGAGTTCAAGTGCTCCTGTGATGATTGTCGTCTCATCTCGCGTCAATTCTCCACCTTTGCCAGCCTGCATAACAGTCAATAGAAGAAGAATATGGCTCACTAGGCAAAAGGATGGACTTCTGCTCGATATTGTTTTGACATGCAGGGAAATGATATCATATAAGGAACTATTTGATGTTGATAAGCTTAAAAGAATCGTACCTCATTACCATGCAAATCAACCAGTGTTTTCAATTCAGCTCTACGAAAAAGTGGCTCATTACCTTTCCCCAACAAAAAGTCCAGTAGCTGGTAAAATACACTCCCAGTCAAAATCCATCAATGAAGATGGAAAATTCAACTGTACGAAAACTAATCAAATTTTGTTTCACCTTGCTTATTGGATATGCAACAGGAAAACAGATCCAAACAAGAACTTGAACAAATGGAGCCACTTTTGCACTAATGGCCAAACCGTAACGAGAACAAACAGCTTGGGGGATGATCTGCATATAGAAGTAGACCTTTCACTTGGTATATACAAGTCAATGGAAAAATGGACCTAAAGCCATAAACCATCTACATTCTACCCTACTGGGAGAATCTCTAACTTAGTGATAAGGCATGTGTGAATACATGGTTACAGGCAAATGAGTATATATGCCCAGAAAAAGAACTAACCTCACCAAACAAAAGTATCAAGGTTACTGATATAAGGACAGCACCCCAAGCTGTTACCAAGCTATCCAGAAAGATGGGAAGGGCCTGAAAGAACAAGAAATTTCAAACATCCATTGGTTCTATTTTCTTCAAAAGTAGTGGCGAAAGTAGTTGAATCACCTCCATAGCAGCAGCATTGCAGATTAGTAGAGTGCATAGCAACAAGTGCTGTTTCCTCACAACTGGCAATGTCTTCGCTGTTATCACAAAGAATGAATTCTTAGTAATTGCACTCTGTAGGGCTTGATCTCCCAAAGTAATTCAAGTTGAAGGAGCAACATATAGAGCATGCAACTTAATATAATGCATTGGACAGTGCACTAGTATTTGGATTCTACCCCATGTTATGCATATATTCTCTGATTTACTTGCCGAGATCCCGAAAATATATGAAGATCTGACTATTGCATCAATAGATTAATTGATTTTACAAATAAGAGAAGTGAAATCGCATTTAGTATCATATCCCAGGCTTTCTCTGTCCCTCAGAACGCAGTGTTAACTCCTAATTCATCACTATTCATTTGCTTTACTTTAAAAGCATCCATAAGAAAGTAATTTAAATCCTCTAACTGATGACCAAAAATGAATATGCATCAGTTTGTAGTTTATATTGGAGATGGAGCACAGACAAGCAATATAGTGAAAGAGAATGTTTCAAGACATAATTGCAATCTGTGTGATGAACATAACTAAATACTGCAGCTAATTAACACAAGTAGTAGAAGCGCTGAAGGAGACATAAAATGAAGTGAAGGAAAGGCAGTACAAGCATGTTTACGATCAGTGGGTGTTCCAGACTTGGCAAGAACTTCAAGATCAACAAGACTCATTGACATGAGGCCCAGTGTGAGACCAGACATCAACCCTGCAAACACAACTAGCAGACTCGCTACAATTATGCGAATGAAGAATCCTGTCTGGCAGCATCTATACTCCACCGCCATTGATCACTTATCTTCTTCTTTCTAATCAAGAACTACCTCTTAGAACATACAGTTATTTCTCTACAAGTCTTCAACAACAATGGCGTACTGTAACTAAGAAATGAACTCGGAATCGCGTAATTAAGAAAGATGTAATAATGAACTTATTCGAGTCGTGGCAATATTTATAGAATAAAATCAGATTCTGTTTTCTTTCATTTCATTGTGGGTTGTGGTTCTTTCAACTGAAACGTCTGGAACTTCACTTTTCCTCCTTTGGATTTCGAAAAAGGAAGAGAGAGAAAGACTAAAAGAAGTTTGGTTGGTCTGTTACAATTCTTTGCCAACTTCAAGTCTCCATCTATAATCAACACATACCTATAAATATATATATGATAGAAACACGAAAACACACCTTTCCTTTTGCATAAAAAGAGAAAATTTATTACACAGGCTATAATTAGTGCAATTTTAGTTCTAAGTAGTGGGATTGATGTCATGAAACGAGAGAATTAAGGGTCACTTTTAACTCTACATCAAAGCACCCAGTTAAATTTTAACAAAGAGGCCAAACAGGAGCTTCAAATCAAGTTTAATACTGAGTTAATCAAGAGGCGGTTGCTGTGCTTTTGGGATTTTTTTTTTATGGTGGCATCTCAATCGGTCTAGTGGGAACGGGAAATAGACTTTATTTGTCTATTACGAAATGAAAGTGTTTTATGATCTTCGTTCATACGGCCACCCAGGAGGAGGTTTAACGCAACTTATTAGATTAATGCGAGAACAAGAGATTGTAATAGAAAATCTTGAACGTAATGTCCCATTTGGAGATCAAGTTGAGTTGCATTACATCAAGCACAGAGTATAAAAGTTGTTGATAAAGTTCATTGGAGAACATATCTGGTGGGTTAACCTTGATTAAGGTAGTTTAAGAGTTGAAAATACTTAAAACATAAGGGAACGGTAGGTCAGAAATGATGGTTCAAGACATAATATTAATAAAGGTAAGGCCAAATTGACAATTTGAAGATAGCGAGTAAGTATAATTTAGCATAAAGTAGATTGGAATTGGTAATAAGCAATCATAATAGGGTGATCAAGTGAGAGTGATTATCGTCAATCATGATACTAGTTGGACTTTTAATACGAGAATGCATAACATACATTGTTCCAATTTTTGACATGAACAAAATTTCAACCGTCCAATGCACAGGTTTTGTGTAGCTTGTAGAGTAAACGACTTTTTCACATCCAAAAAGTTTCAAAAATTACTTTTTTCACCCAAAGTTTAAATCCGTTAATACTCAAAATATACTTCACTTTTTTACCGCCGTTAGACGAGTTACAAGAGCTAGAGTAAAAGATTTTGTTAAAGGCTGGTGGATCAAACAGTGGTGGTTGATTGAATATTCATTGTCAAAATCAACCAAAAATAAGTTAAGAACATGAAACTTAACTTTGAATGTCGACAACCGGCGATAATCAAGTGTTGGAGTAAGAGGGGTTTTGTAAAAAGGAGACTAGAGGTTTGAATGGTGGGTAAAGAGAATTATCACAGTAGATTGTCAGGAATTGGCTTTGAGTAGTAATGAAATATTAACTTTGGGTGAGAAAATGGTATTTTAAAATTTTTTGGGTGAAAGGCAAAAACCATGGGGGGGAAAAGTAGTTTAGTCATGCTGTAAGATCACTGCACTTTCTTCGGGCCCATATGATTTACTGTAGTTGATCCAGTGATGAGCAGACGATGAGAAAGGGAACATTGTAACCGTTGACCTTAAGAGTTTTTATAAAGTAAGAAATGTCATAACTACTAGAAAAGACTTTGAGAATCACTCTATCTCCGAGGTTTTATAACCGAAATAGCATCGTTTGGTTTTCATGCATAGTCTTTTTATTTTTATTTTTTTGATGATTGAGGGTGTTTGGGTTAACTTATACACATTTCAATAATTCTCTAGGATCTTAGAACTATTAGTCAGGTATTAGCTCTGATAGCTATTATTTAACAAGTGATAGCAACAGTGGAGACTCAAGAGATCATGTTAGATTTTCCTCTTGCTCTTTTACACTCAAGAGAACTCGAACCTGGTAGACTATGCTAGATCTTTCTCTTAGGAGATCATGTTAGATCCTCTTTTTACTATTCTATCAAAAGGACCGAACTTGGGAAACTATATTAGATTTCATTTGTTCTTTTATTATCAAGTCACCAGTGGTGTAGTAGAATTATTTATAATTATTATAAGTGGTCCATGGAATTAAATATAATATAAGGTAGTAATAATTAATTTAATTGAAGGGCATATTGGTCTTTAGCCTTTGATGGAAAGGTTGTGGTGTTTGCAGTTAATTAAATAACGCAATATAAAAGGTGGGTCCTCTCTATTCTCATATACGCTAAAATTTTTTCTCTGCCATCAAGAGAGTTTGCGATTACAGAAGAGAAGAAAGGGAGAGAAATGTGCCTATTTTTGATTCAATCAAGATTCAAGTTTTAATTTTCTACTATGGAATCAGACATGTATTCTTTATATATATGAGAAAGTTTTAAGTTTCAAGATCTTGTAATTTATATTTGTGCAACTGAGGGCATAGAAACATGAATTGATTATTGATTCTTTGCTTGATGAGTTGCTTTTAAGTTTACATGTGGTATCAGAGCAATTTCAGGTTTAGAGACTGATGAATTTTCCATAGGTTTTTTTTTAGGGTTCTATGGGATGTAGAAATTAATTGGGTTTTTTTGGAATTGTGAAATAGGAATGGTTTCGGTAAAATAGATTTAAGAAATTAGTTGGGTTTAGAAATTAACAAATTGGAAGGCTGGAAAATTATTCTGAAGTGCAAATTTTCAGAATCCATAAACTTTTTCAATAAAAAAAAAAAAATCCAGAAATTCGGACTATGAAATTTACCTAATTTTTCCAGAAATTCGGGTCAATCATGACCCATGAAATATGACCCAACCAATTATAAAAGCCTTATTAAGTGAGCCCATTTTTTTTTCAATCCATTAAGTATAACCCATAAAGAAGCCCAAACTATAACCATTAAGAAGCCCAACCCTTTTGGTCAAACGGGTCAACCCAAATAGGTTTAAATGGGCTGACTCGGACTGGAAAAATGGATCAAACCGACCGGTTAGGATCCGAAAAGGTGATCCGGACCAGTCAACGGATTAAACCGGTTCAGACCGTTGACTGAACTGGTCAATGGTTAAAGTTACGGTCAACCGTTAAAATTAACGGTCACGGTTAAAGTTAACGGTTTAACTGTCAAAGTTACGGTGACAATCAAATTAAAATGAGGGTCGAATCAACCCATTTTGTCCTTAATGTGTGTTTAGGCACATGAAATGTGTATAAATTTCTAAAGTATAATTTTTTTAGAGAAAGATAAGTATGACAACCTTATAGTTATATAAGTTTGATAACTATTTATGTATAATTTGTTAGTCACCAAAGTGGCCAAATTAAAATGTTTATCCCAAGATATCAAACTAAATAAGATTCAATTACTCATGCATTAGATGCTTTAATGAGATGACATAATGTATTGGACATGAGTAATTTGAAGTTACATGTATAGGATAGTTAAGGATCACCCAAAGGTAGATTAGTTAATCCTATAATTATGAACATAATCGGGTAATTAATGTACTTGATTAGGTGTGTTTAGTATATCCAAAGATAACAACATGTCTAACTAAATACATTTAATTACCAATTAGAAAATTTATAAAAGATTGTATCAATTAAGTTTAATTATCGTATATTGTTATATATCCAAAGGAGATTTTCAATATATATTTATGTTTTAATAATAATAAATTTAATATCTGAATCTGAAATTAGTATAAGGTATAAACTCAAGCTATTTAATAAAGACAATAATTAATTGTAAGCATTAATTTTTTGTTTTTGCAGCATTTGCTCTTCACGCCTCATCTGTTATTAAGTTTAAGGGTTAATTATAATGAATGGAGTGAACAAGTCGAGTATTACTTGGGGTTTCAAAATCTCGACTTTGCACTCATGACAGAGAAACCAGCTAATCTAACTGAGAACCTCATGAGAAAGGTCTTTCCATAAGGAATGGAGAGACGAATAGATTGAGCCTGAAATATTACGGATGACAGTGGTGAGCAAAATCAAAACCTCACTTCCTACCACAAAATATGCTAAGGAATTTATGAGATAGCCAAAGAGGCTTCTCAGTCTGAGGCCGCTGACAAGTCTCGCACGGGGGCATTAATGAGTAGGCTGACCACCATGAAATATGATGGTTCTCTGTAGATGTATGAACATGTGACTGAGATGTCAAATATAGCAGCAAGAATTAGAAACATGGGAATGTCTGTGGACGAAAGTTCCTTGTTAAGTTTGTCATTAACTCTTTACTCCTCAGTTTAGTCCATTTCAAATTAATTATAACACAATTAAAGATAATTGGAATATGACTGAGCTTCAAACTAAGTTAGTTCAAGAGGAGGAAAGATTGAGAAAAAAGGAGTTCATTTTGTTAATCTTGTGGGCTCGTTGTGAGTTAAGAACAAATCAACAAGAAGTATGGAAAGGGCAAAAGGCCACTGAAGATTAACGAGGCTTCTGCCCAAGTCAATAGAAGGATAGACTAAAGAAAAGTGTCATTTCTGTAAGAAATTGGACACTATATGAGGGACTGCCTGAAACGTAAGGCATGGTTCGAAAAGAAAGGTAAGCCTAGTGCTTTGGATGTTTCGAATCTATTTATCAAAAGTTCCTTATAATACTTGGTGGATTGATTCTGGATGTACCACTCATATCTCTAATACTTTGCAGGGATTCCTTATGACCTAGATCATAAACGACAATGAAAGATTTGTGTACATGGGGAATCGAGTCAAAGCACGAGTTGAAGCCATTGGAACCTATCGTTTAATTTTAAATACTGGACATCATTTAGATTTGTTTAATACTCTTTATGTACCGGAGTTATCCCGTAATTTAATATCTTTATCTAAACTTGATTTAGAAGGATATTCTTTTAAGTTCTGGAATGGATGTTTCAGTTTATTTAAATATAATTGCTTAATTGGTTCTGGTGTGCTTTGTGATGGA